GATGGAGCAGGGGATGGAGCAGGAGATGGAGCAGAGATGGAACAGGAGATGGAGCAGAGATGGAGCAGGAGATGGAGCAGGAGATGGAGCAGAGATGGAGCAGGAGATGGAGCAGGGGATGGAGCAGAGATGGAGCAGGAGATGGAGCAGAGATGGAGCAGCACTGCTCACCCTCACAGAACAGTGCACTGCACTCACTGCACCATCCCAACTTGCATCCAACTGCACTTCCACCGCTGCCTCCTGCTTATACTGCCCAAAAAGCCAACCACAAATGTCCTTTGGGAAACATTTTTAAAGGACCACCCTTGACCACCCCACATGCATATTTCTCCCCCAAAATAAGAGCCACAGTAATCCAGTAATAGCCTGGTGTTAAATAGTGGTAACTCATATTTATTACAATTATATACAATCATATTTTATATTTGAAATCTATACATGATCACACAGACGAGCACACTTGCTTGGTGAGGACAGTGACTCAGTTGTTACAAGAATTGCTCTGCTAAGATGCTCTGATGCAGTGAATAGTATCAGACACCACCATTTTACCAGCTGCAAACACAATGCTGCAAATGAGAGCTTTCAAAATTCACTGGTTTGATTTGTGTGTGGCCCCAACRGGGCAAGAAAAGGCTGGACTGGTTAAGAAGGGCCAGTAGTGGAGCCTCAGAGCTGGAGCTGTTCTCTCTGCTAGAGAGACTGCTTTGCAGTCTGAGAGGTACAGTCTCAGCTAACCATTTAAGATCATTTTTCTTCTCATTTAGGGGGAAAAAGGCTAAAAACCATTGCAAATATTCAGAATTAACCAACTATTTCAGCATCTGATTTCACCTCATTCATTCATTCATTCATTCATTCCATTCATTCATTCATTCATTTATTCAGGGCAGCTATAAATAATATATAAGATGTCAAAAATTGATGTGAGCTCCTTGTCTTTGGAGGAGAAAGGGCAATAATTGGGATGAGTGGAGTCAGATTCTTACTGGGGGGCAACCATCAACAAAGCCCCTGTTCTCATGGATTTTACTGTGGCCATGAACCTGGACTTGGTCCCTATCAGAGGCCACTCTGATCAATGTGGGGTGGAAATGGTGTTCTTTGGACCGCACAGAAATCTAGTGCTTTTACATCCTAKGTAGTTTCAGAAATTTGAGGCTTGGGATAAGGTTTGGAAGAGCCAAGACTGAGATCTGGTGAGGAMTTTGAGGTTAAAATGTCCAGGGTTTTTTTTTGGCAACAGAATATTAAGTAGTTTGAGAAATAAAACAGAGGGTTTCTTTTTGGGAAAACAGAGAACTGGTTTGGGCCTTCTGTGGGATTAAAGGCTTGTGAAATCAAGGAGCTCAGGACAGACTGGTTTGTGAAATTGGAWAGCAGGGCTCTGGGATGCAGCAGAGGCTGACTGTTGTGTGAGAGGGTGAATCCTGTAGCTCTGGAGCGTGGTAAGGCCATCGGTCTGCYCGCCTGCCAGTGACCCCAGCTCTGGCAACAAGGGCTGGCAGGGGAGAAGCCACTGCAGGACTGCAAAGCCCTGGGGTCAAACAGGGCAATCAAACTGTTCATTGGGCAATCACGACCCTGCTCAAGGTCAGTCAAGGGAAAATCACAGGAGGGAATGGTAGCTTTTCTCCCCACAAAATGGGAGAGCTGGGGAAGATGTACAGCAGCAGCAGCAGCAGCAGCAGCAGCAGCAGCAGCAGCCCCCAGGCTGTCTCAGTCGATCTCATTCTCATTGCTGGCCCCCTCAGGTCTCCGTAGCTTCTCCACCTGCTCATTGATCTGACCATCCCCTCCTCGCCGGTCCTCAGTCTGCACACCCAGACACTCCTCCTCATCCACATGGCTGACATCATCATCCTCATCGTCCTCCTCCTCCTCCTCCTCGTTCCTTTTGGGCTCCCGTTTCTCCTCCTCCCCCTGCACCTCCATCCTGACCTGGCTGCTGAGGTCGATGATGCCCGGGGTGCTCTCCTCGAGCAGGTGGCCCTTGGAGCCCTCGGGGCTCTGGTTCTCCTTCACCGGGGACGRGGAGCTGGACTCGTTGCTGACCGGGGAGATGTCGCTGCTGCTGTTGTGGGCGGCCACAGCGGGGCTGGAGGGGGAGCTGGGCTTCACTGGGATCTGCCACGACGGGATCTTGGGGGCYGAGGGGGACGGAGGGAACTGCCTCCTGGGGACGAGAGCAAAAGGAAGAAATGATCATTTTSTTATAAATCCTGAGGTGYTATCGTTAGAGACAATAGTATTTGWGCTAGGGAARTCACRTAAAGCAGGACTGRAAATGCAACTCTCTGCCATCAATGAGCARAACCAAGGCCACTTCACTCCCCAGAGAGATTCTCCAAGTGCTTTACAAGGCAGCAATTGAGCCTGGACASCAGGAAAGGATCCCAGCTGGGCAGTCTGAGGCAGCAAAAGGATCTGATTTGGCTGATTTCAGAGTAAGCTAGCACTCAGGAACRCTGCCTGTGAAAACACATGGGTGTCCCTTTATAAGACAATCACTGATTAATTGGTAAAGAAAATTTGCACTGGAGCAAGAGTCAAAAACACCAGGTGCCYGAGCCAAGGAATTTCAGCACCTGGCTCACTGTGATACACCACGATTGCATTCTGGCTCAGGCAATCCAAGCCTTTCTCCCAGTCCCAGCAAGCACTTCTGACATGTTTGGGCCAGGCCTGGCTGCCACAAACGGGTTCAGCTCCTCTGACTGGCAGAGTGACACTGCCTTGCACCAGCTGAGCTGGCCCCGAGTCCTTTCCAGGTGCATTTGAAGGAAATGACAGTAGCAGGATAATACCAGCACTAACAGAAGAATCCAAGTGCCAAACAGGACAAATGCAAGTGCCAGGGGAGCACTGGTGCCCTCAGAGTCATCCATCATGATGGAGAGGCATCCTGACTGTGGGGGAAGTGCTGAGAACTCCTCCAGCACAAACAAAAAGGAAAAATCAATTCCCTAAAGCACTCTGGGATTTAAGGCAAGTTTGGAATGCATTTTGAGACCTGCCAATAGAAGCTGATAGTAGAGTGCAAAATGGTCTCATTAAAATAGCAGAAACAGGATATAGAGGCAGTTCCTGTTGGAAATGCCTTTYCCCTTCAGGAGGGATCCCAGAAACCATCCCCACAACAGTGTGCTCACASATCCCATCCATACCGGTTCAGGAGAAGTCCTTTTAAAGAGTAGATCTCCGATTTCAATTCATTRATATTCTGTGACTCCAGAATCCAGTTGGTGGAAGTTGTGGCCTAGAACATGAACAACAAGACATAAAGATCTGAAGTGTAAGAGTGACCCTGCACACCTCCAGAGCCWGCAGAGCTCAGTGACTGCTGAGCTTCAAAGCCAAAGAGCTGCAGAGCTCAGCTGAATTCCCTGGGGATTCACTCCCAGCCTCACTCTGCACAACCAGGAGCCACTGTTCTGGCTTTGCAAGACTCTGAAAGCTACAGCAGCACATTAACAAGGGAGTGATTTCCACTCACTGGCCTGCAAAGGACTCAAATTTCCAAAACACATATGGTGCCAGATGCCTAGGATTTAGAAATAAAATCTGACATCTGGGGCTTTTTAGCCGGTCTCTTTAAAAACAGTTGTAGAAAATTCAAGCCTTGAATTTTTATGTATGTTTTTTAATTACTTAAAGTCCCTCTTTTTAATTTTTTACAGCATGCCAGTAGGAGTTTGAAAAGCAGATATAAAAACTTACATTACAGCTGAGAAAACACAGCTTTTATTCTTTGGTTTGTGGGGTTGCCCAAGTTTTTCTTTGTACACATGAGGTTTAGATATCATAACAATGTGTGCTACCATTTCAGTGCAGGGGGTAGAGAGCGGGGAAGAAAAAGTCCTTCAAGACTCTCTAAACCACCAAGACTTAACGGCCTTTTTCCTTCTTAAAGCTCAACATGTGTTCTTAATCTTAACACTTAAGACTGRAAACAGTTTTCCAATTTCCGGGCTGGCTCCAGGCCACTGCCAGGCCACAGCTCCCGAGGAGAATTGCAGAAGTTGTGACCATAAAGTGCCTTTCATGGTGAGGTTTAGAGCTGTGCCACAGAGGGTTCCTCCTGTTCAGGGTGCACAGCACTGGCTCAGCACTGACAGCCACCAAAGGTCTGGGGAGATTTAACAGTGGGGAGGGACAAGGAAACTGTTCCTGCTGCAGGTGAGGGGCTGAGCTTTGCCTGAAGGAGTTCACAGGAAAATCTGCTGCACAGAGAACACCACCAGAGAGCTGCAAACAATCTTTGTGAGTCAAAGGAACACCTCATCTCCATGGGACTGGTCCAAACTGACCCCACCTCACGTGTCAGCACTCACTGGCTGACAGAATGCTTGGCCAATGGCTGCAAAGTGCTTTGGAGTAAAGCACTAATTCTCACTGCCAGAAAGAAAATCAATTTTGGTTAAAAGTGGTTACTTTATTTACACATTTAACATCACAAACTAGTCAGAATTGATGGTTTACTGCCAGAGTCAAGTCAAGAGCAGGGGAATGGTCACTGTGTGTCATTAACAGGGCTGTAATGGGGGGTCACCTGTTACACTCAACTGACCAAAATCATTGAAACAAGAACCCAAACAGAATGTTTGGCCAATACCTTTGCCTCTTCTGGTCAGTGGACTAACTCCACAATTATTTCATCTCAAATGCAACACAGAACATAAAGACCTAAGGACACGTCTGAGGCCTCAGATACACAAACTGCATCCAAAACTACACAGTAAAGCCCTCTCTGGGATCAGATGGAGTGATC